GTACAGTGCCTCGAGAGCTTTATCTCGTAACCACTTCCCCCAAGGAGGACCAGAGATGAAAGACTTCCCGCGGGTACGGGCAGAATACCCGGAATTGGGGGGTGTAACGGGGCTGCGAGGGATCCACGCGTGGTCACGGCGCTGCCTGGGGAGGGGTGGGTGTGCAGAGAGGGGCACGGGCCCCTCGGGGTGCCCTGGGCCCCCACTGCCCCAGGGAGAGGCAGCAGGCAGTGTCTCGGTGGATCCATCCCCAGGTCCACGCTGGCTGAAGCCAAAGACAAGGAGGGGGCGCAGGCAGGTGGTTTGCAGTTTGTTTTCTGCCCATGGTCCCAAATCTTCCTCTTCAGAGCTTTGATACGTGCCAAGTTCTGTGTTGCCAGAGCCCAATTCAAGCAAATTGTTTTTCTTAAAAAAAGAATGGGAATATTTCAAATAAACAATCTGCGCTGTGTGTGTGTGACGCTGAATTTCTTTACAGTCACATTTCTATCCCCAGGGAGTTCTCAGAGCAGTTATTAAAGCTTTGCTTAATTCAATTGTATATATTTCCAGCCTATTTCATGCCTCAGTGATTCCATCTCTTTGACACGTTCCCTGAGCCCGGGTGCCCTGTGAGCAGCTGGATCTGTGATCCTGGGTGAGCAGACACACCGAACTCCACCAGTGCCAGGCCTGAGCCGTGCCCAGGGAAGCCACACTGCTGTGTCACTAGAGCCCATTTGTTACCCCAGAGTTAATTACCCGTATAAGAAGTTAATTAACTCTACAAAAAGAATCAAGTTACCAGGTATTTCCAGTCCCTGGGTCCCCCTGCTCCCCTTCAGTGCCAGAGGAGTGGAAGTCAGTGATTCAAACCTGCTGCCCAGGCCGCAGGTTCATCAATCAGCTTCTCAACGAAAACGCATTTCCTGATAAATTCCACAGGAAGTTGCTCAGAAAGAGAGATTTTGGTTCAGTTCAGGTTGGTTCCACTTGAGCTGAAACATCCAGTTAGAACCGAATTGAGCTGTGCAATCTTGAATTGATCTGACATTAAACTGTGACTCACTCAGCCGACGGAATATCGCGAGGGGGTCGGGGTCTGTGTCTCGCACCCATGGGCTGTGTGTAAAGCCAGGGGATTCCTGCAGGCTGTCCTAACTCATGGACATCCCGAGGTGGGAATGATCCCAGCGCTGCAGGAGATGGTGCCTGGGCAGCACACACGGGCTGGGGGATCTTGGAAAGCAGAACTCAGGGCTCCGCCTCAGGAGGTGGTCTGAGAGAGGCACAACACGGCACATTCTTGGATTCAAAACTTCCTGGTATTTCACACCAATTTTGCTTTAGGTGAGTCGAGATGGAAACTCGGGCTCCCTCCCCCTGTTCTGAGCCACGGGGAGGTTCATCCCCTTCATCCCCTTCGCTGGAGGAAGCCGGAGATGCCCAGACAGAAGCGCTGGTGAGCGCAGGGTGAACCTTTCCCAGCTGCACTTCCCGGTCTCATCCCTGTGCTGACATCAAGGAGGGACCCTGACATCTGCCCTGCTGCCCCCTCTGCCCAGCAGTGCCAGCCTGGGGTGCCCAGGATCTCCCAGCTCTGGCTTTGCTCCTGCCCAGACCCCCTTCTCTGATGTCCCACCTCGGGGGGGTTTGTGGTGGAAGTCAGGGGGGTTGCTCGGGAAAGCGGGGGGCGAGGGGGGGGGGGGTTTGACGTCATTGTTCCCCAACAAACAAAAATAGCAGAAGTGAAATCGTGGAGTAAATTCCTGACCTTCAGAGGGGCACCGAGCTGGGATTCCTCACCCGGCGGAGTTCTTTGTGCGGCCGCAGGGGATGCCCTGACAAACGTCTCATGATTGTGATCTCACCACGAGGTTATTAACAGATCCTTATCCCCCCCACCACCCCGGGGGAGGAAGCAATCTGTGCAGTGCCAGCTCTGACAGGAGTGTGCAGCTTGCCCACAGTGGTCCCCACAGCAGGGAAGGGCACAGCCGGTGTCACCGGGAACTCACCTGCTTCGTGCCACGTCCCAGGCGATGGCCTTGCTCTCCAGTTCTTTTTTTTGAAGGAAAAAAAAAGATATATTTACCAAACTGGCATCTGCCCTGTGCCAAAGCATGGACAGCAGGAGGAATTTCTTCACAGAACTATGCCAGGGAGGGCACACGAGCACCAGTTGTGTCTGGAGAGGGTTTCAGCCTTCCCACAGTTGAGGGCAAACTGCTGGGAATACCCACAGGGTATCAAACACTAGTGAGCAGCTAATTGTTTAGGGAGCTAAAGAGATACTTATTAGGGAGATTAAGTATTATGGCCCCTAAAAATAATTGAGGGTTGAAGTTTGACCAACCAGCAAACATCCTCGCTGTGAGCTGTGTTACCTTGATCAAAAGGTGGAAGGTTTAGCACCAATCCACTGCTGTCTTTGGAAGAAAACTGGGTATAGAAACCAGGGATAATCCCATCAGTGGTTTCTCTAGGAAGAGCTCATCCAGCCCTCTCTATCACAGATACGAAATTTCTCATCCCTGAAATCGAAAAATAGTAACTAAGGAAAGATTTTTGTTGTTGTTACAGTCACTCAATTTCTATTGTTGTTACTGTCACTCTTTCTGGTTTGGTTTCCCCCCACCCCCCAAAAAACTGGTGCCAAAACCAAAATGTCTTTTCCTGCCTTTTCAACAGAACCGAGTGAACAAAGCAAATTGAAACTGGTTGTTGACAGAAATTACTGACTTCTGGAAGTCACAAGTGAAGCTGTACGTGATGACTTACAAAAAAAATAAGACAGCAGCCTGATAAGTGCAAAACCACTTCAAAAAACCCCTCGAAGGTCGTGGAAAAAGAAACGTCAAAGCGAAAGAAGGGAACTGAGAGCACAAACAGCGAGCCAGGCCTGAAGCAGGATCCAGGCTCTAAGAGCAGAATGCCTGATCCCTCTTGGTCATCATATCCCCCCTAGGAGAGTCTGCCAATCAGTAACACTCTGCAAACACAGAGGGGGGATTTCAAACCCCGGGATCCGAGCCCTGGAATGAGCGTTCAGAGTCTTGACCAGGCGTTGCAGCTCCCTGAAGGCACAACCAGTCCGGGATGGGACTGGTGCCTGCCTGGAAAAACAGGTGGAATTCCAGCCCTCCTGCCTCCCTGATGTAACTGAACCCCCAGCTTTGTATGCAGGTGCCTGGAGAGCTCGGGGCTGCTGCGGGTGAGTGGCCTGTGAGCACCTCTCCACGAGTTGGTGCAACCAGCAGCTTGCAGGGTGAGGGGGGAGCTGAACTCACAGCTGGGCTGGTTTGTGTTGTTTCAAGCCCTGAGCACTCTCACACAGAGCACGTGCTCTGCTGCTGTACAAGGGAAGAGTGAGAGCTACTCGCAGTTCACAGGGAGGGTTGGACTGTACGTTCCCTGCAGTCCCTCCCTGGGCAGGTTCGTGGGGACTCCTGGTGGCAGCGCCTGCTCCAGCTCGCACACCTCTGCCAGCACACAACCTGCACCACCACTTCCATCTCCGGTCGGCTGTGAGGGGTGTTTTCCCTCAATATTCCAGCAGCTGGGACCGCTGGGAACACTTGTCAGTTAAGAGAATGAAGGGAGCTCAGCACAGGGGCAGGGGCAGCGCTGGGGCAGTGGTGGTGGCAGCACGAGGGGCTGGATTGGGGTGCAGGGGATGGGGTCTCTCCACTCCTGCCTTGATCTGCACCAGCTCAACACTCTGAATGGGCTCTGATTCCGACACACACGGGCTGCCCCAGCCACCCCTGTGCCAGTGTTCGGGTTGGCTTTGATATTTCATCCCTGCAAAGCTCCATTAATCTGTTTTATTTCTTTCTGTCACCAGCATAATCCTCTCTGTAAGCAGCGTCTGCAGCTCGTTTGGCTCCAGGCAGAGCAGCTTGGCAAGACTTGCCCAGGTGATACACAAGTGATTTTTTTACCTTTTTTTTTAAAAACCCTTATTTTGTTTCTCCAGAAGCCTTTTTTTCTCCTCTGAAAGTTCAGCTGCTGCCCAAACACGAGACTTTTGTCTTTCCTGGGGAGCCAAGCTCAGCCCCACATGTAGGTGAGGGGGTTTGGAAGGGATTTGGGTGCATGAAGCTCTTGGAGGCTCAGGATTTGGGTTCACTTCGCCTGGTGAACTGCTTCTGAACAACCTCACAAGGTGCCTGGTTCATGTTTTAACATTTAAACCCCTCTCAACATTTACCCTTTGGGCCCTACTCTGTTACTGTTTTCCAGCTTTGCAGGTCAGAAGGTTTTCTGGGGTGATAAAATCTAATTATTACATTAATGTTAAAAAAAAAAAAACCACAAAAAAAACCACTCCAAACCCCTTTAAGAACGGTTCTTTTTTTAACCCAGGCATCTTAATAACTTTTACCGTGGCGTGTTTTTGTGGTGAGACAAAAGCATATTTCTGAGAACAACCCGGCACAGGCTCAACCTCCTCCTGCAGAGCAAACCAGCAAGCAGCACCGAGCTGATGTCAGAGGTCACAATGCCCGGCTCGGACTCAGGAAACCTCTGGTTTTTTCTTGAAGAGAAAAAAAAAACCGAAGAAAACAACCCCCACCTTGGCAAGATGCAAGGGTTGGGGTTTGCCTCTTGGCTTTCCCTGCCAGTCCCCCTGGGGTGTGGGGGACTCACCCACCCTCAGCACCCCCGTGGGGGACGGCTGTGCCCACCCCACCGGCCGGACAGAGCACCCAGCCAAGAGCTCCTTCAGTGAGCACAGCAGCAAAGCACGAGGCCTCTCCCTCCTGGGAGGGTTCCCAGCCCTGCTGAGGACCTGCAGGTGGGCACAGGGCCCATCAGAGCCCCGGGTGGCTGCTCTGAGGCAAGGGTTGGTGCAGGAGCACAGCGGAGGGGCCGCGTTTCTCCCGAGGCCGGTCCCTCTCCTGCACCAGCTCCCTGATGCTCCAGCCCCTCATGGGCACCTCTGCCAGGCACCACAGGGCTGGCCAGAGCTCCAACTCTGCCCACGGGCATTTGTTCAGGTTCTCATGCGCTCAGAGAAGTTATTTCACCCGTGAAGATGACACCCACTCCACTCCACTCCCCCAGGGACACACCCTGGGCCGCACACACCCGTCTTTGCCAATAATGAGTTATTTACATACACCTTGGGAACTTGGAGCAGATGAAAAGCTGCACCCCCCCCACCTGCAGAACCCAGGGCTGCTGCAGATAAAAAGCTGTTGCACAACAAGGGTTTGCAGCACCTCAGGTGTGGTGGAGTCTCACCTGAGCCCTGTGGGGGTCGGCCCCCAGTCCAGGCAGTACAGTATCTGTAAGAAATCGAATCCCATGTGTTTATTCTCCTCTGGCTTGAGGTGGAGAACAGCTGATGAAAGCTCTGAACCAAACACTGCCATTACCTTAGAAGACAAGAACAGACCACTGTGAGTTTTAAAAAAAAAAACCAAACGTGTTGAATTTTATTCTTTTCAGATCATTTAAAAAAAAGACCAAAAGGGTTTAAAAAACACCATCTCACAGATCCACTTCTCTGTAAAAACACATTGATTCACTGAAGCATCACGTGCTCTCTCAGTTGTAAAGTCAAGAATTTGCTCGTGGCTGTTGCATTTAAGTGTATTTTTGTTTTTTTAGGGCTTTTGCTTACATAGGGCAAATTGAGGCCTTTTCTTGTAGTTCCCAGAGGTTCTGAAAGCTCATGACAAGCAAAACTACTGTTTTTTACCATTTGTGCCGTATCAGTGACTGCCTGCTCAGAGAACACGTGCGTGTTTAAACGCTCTCCTGCTCTGTACTGTGCCAGGGCTCTGGCTGAGGCCACACCAGGGTCTCCCTGTAGCAAAAAAGGAGTTAATTGGTAAAGAAAAGCAAAGGCTTGCTAAGAGGAATCCTGCACCACAGAAAGAAAAACCCCGAAGCTGTGTCATTTACTGCAAGACTACACTGAGTCCTTTGGAACTGGATCTCCTGACACTCTGCACGCAGACCACAAGCAGGTTTCCACCACTGTGGAGCAGCTCCTCTAGAAAAACAACCAAGTTACACTGAAAAACCCCTTAACTTCATCTTTCAGCCTCATTCCAGAGCTGCTCCTGAGGACTGAAAGCCTTCTTTAAAAGCAAGACTGGGGCAGTTGCAGCAGAACTTTTCCCTGGCTGGCACAGCAGCGGTGGGACAGGAAGAGGCTCCAGGTGACATCAGGCCTTTGCTCCATAATAACATCAGCTTTAAACGCCTCAGTCATGTTCCAGCCCCTCCAGAAAGGGCTGCAGCCTGGGTGAGGCACACCTGCAGCTCACTGCTGCCACACAGGGACAGGAAGGGCCTTTGGAAAAAACCACCAGTCACAGTGGTCACAGAATGAGAAGGAAGAGAGAAGGCCCGATTTCTCACTCAAAACTAAACCCAAATCTGTCTTTCTAGGGAAGAATTCCAAGTGATACAAGCCCCTCTCCACACCGCAACAGCTGTGCTTAAGACACAGGAGGTTCCTTTCCTGCCTGCTGCAGGACCGTCCCTGTGCCTCTACAGGGCCCCTCACATCGCTACACCAGTAACCTGACGCGACATCAACCCCCCGGGGGGATCCTTTGGAGACAAGTGACAGAGGCAGGGGAGGTACAACAGCCGTTCTGAGATCACACAGTACTTCATTACAGACACAGTGGTTACTCCTTCTTGTCGGCCTCCTCGCCCCCCGTGGGGTCCGCGGGCGGCTCCTCCGCGGTCGCGCCGTTGCTCTCCGAGCCCGTGTTGCTGTCGCTGGTCCCCTCCTCGGCCGTGCTGTCCGCCCCTTCCTGCCCGCTCTCCTTGTCCTCGGGGGTGGAGGTGCCCTCCTCGCCGTTCTGCTGGTTCTCTGCGCTCTCCTCCGCGTGGGGCTCCTCTGGAACGACACATTTCTCAGCGTCACTCGCGCGCCAACGCGCTTGTTTAGGTTGGGCGATTGGGATTTGGCTTGTAACAAACCCCGAGTGCTCCACGGCAGTTGTGCCACTCAGAAACGTGCAGTGGCACACACAAAGCATGACATGGGGCTCTGTGTGTTCTTATCCCCTCCCCTCTTAAAAATGAGTAATTAAGTAAGAAAGCAACTGTTCTCCTGGTTGAGCTGGGACTTCTCAGAGACCCTCTGAGGTGCTGGGAGGATTCCACAGCAGGTGTTCAGGTGCAGTTACCTGTCTCCATGGGAGTGCTCTCCTCTTCCTTCTTCTCCTCCCCCTTGCTGGCTGCCTGCTCCTCCTCAGCTGCCAGGTTGTTCTGACTGCGCTCGGCTTGCTCCGCTGCCTCCTTCTCCCTCTCCTCCTGCCTCTTGCGGGCCTGTTCCTCAGCCTGGGCAATCTCAGCTGCGATTTTTTCCATATCCACTTCCACCTTCAAGCTGCATAACTAGAAATTAAAAGGAAGAAGAAAGCTCTTTTACCACCTCAGGCCGAGAAACAAAACATCAGTAAGCCCCAAATATGAGTTCAGTATTTCTGTGTGCAACATAATTTTGATTTGACTGTATCAAAATCTTTGGTCACTAGGGAGATACAGGCATATTAACAAAATTAAGGGGGAGGGGATAAATAAACAACCTAGAGGTTGTTATTTGAACACAGCCAAGGAGAAGAGTGTGTCCTCCACAGCGGCTTCACCTTCCTTCAGGTGCTCCTTCTCAGGTCCAGCCTGGAGGAACTCCAAACTGTACTGGCCCCATGTCACCACTAAAGGTCACTGAAGGAGCAGGAAATCACCCTGTGCTTTGTATCACCCACCCCAGGGCACTGCCTCAGCAGCTGGGTCATTGCACACAACTGAACTGACGCACTTGTACCGGAGGGGAACCAGCAGCTTCCTCACAGAAAGCGAAGCAAAGTGAACTGTACCCTTTTGAGCTCGTTGTTGAAGGACTCTGTGCTTTCCAAAAACTTCCTCTTCTTTTCCTGGTGACGCTCCTCGATTTGCAGCAGCTCAGCTTCGAGTTTACGCTGGAAGTGAAATGAACGGCAAGAACTTCACTGTGCAGTCACCTGAGAACCGGGTAAAGCTACAAAAATATTTCTGTGGGTTTATTTTTAAATATTGCTTTAATACATAAACATCCCTCTGCCTGCCTTGACCTGACAGCCAACAGCTCAGAAGTTCATACTGAAAAGTATGAACGGTAAATGGGTCCACGCAGCAGTTCAGGCATATTGTAAATGATGCTTCCAGCATCAGATGTGCACATTTTCTTTCCTATTCTGCACCCCTCAGGTCTGGATATACACAGCCCACAGGTAGAGGCACACTCCCACATCAATTACATTCTCATAACACAGACCACAATCCAAAGGAAAGAAGGGAAACCACCCCCTCCACCCTCCAAATAATCTGTTAATTAAAAAAACCCAACACACCTCTACCTAATTCTTGTCTGACTTCACCCACACTGACAGGGTTCTTTTGGTGACATGAGTGTTTGGAAAATACAGGCATGTGCCCAGTCAAAGCTGGGTGAAACATGCAGGTGTGACCTCACCAGATTTCCTTGTATGAATTTACCTCTCAATTAGAAATGTTACAATAGGGACAATTTACTGTAAAAAAAAATAATTCATTACAAACAAGGTAATGAGTTGTCAGGTACCCGAAATCACAGCTCCACCTATTACCCAGCAGACTTGTGCTGTAATAATACAGAGGGCTGTATGTCATAACGAAAAGCTGTGGAATTAATACCTAGGATATCCTACAGAGCAAAGTACACCTTAACGTGACCCTCAGTAACAAAACAGCCCAGGTGGTGAAGTCTCACGTCCTGCAGCTCCCAAGCAAACCCAGGGATTAGCTCTTGGAGCGCACAGAATGCGACACCCAGCAAGAACAGTCATGTAAGCGATCAAATGATCCGAGACCTGGAGTCCAGCCCAACAACCACCACCACGTTTCAGCTGCCTCCACGTCCTTCCTCTTTACCTGATGGACCATTAGGGACTGAACCTGGCGCTTCAGGACTTGCATCCTGGCCGTGGTGACCACGGAGCGGACGTCGGGCACCACGCTCTCGCTGAGGATCTCGCTGATGAGCCGGTGGTTGCGCTGGAACCGCGCCGTGGCCGTGTGCTTCATGGAGAACCCATCGTCGTAATCTGCAACACGAGGCCGGGGGGGGGGGGGAAAAAGTGCTTCAGTGGCACGGGGAGCCCTGAGGCTGACGCTGTCCCCACAGTGCCAACGTGGGATGGGAACCCTGGCACGTCATGGAGCGCCCGGGAACACACAGGGAGCACCGGGGAATCGCACGGCGTTCCCCTGGCACAGCTCTCACAGCCCACTTCACACGCCTCTCCCACAGCTGAAACTGCCACTGGCCTGGCTGCTGACTGACTGCCTTGCTTTCCACGTTTCCCACAGTAAGAGGGAATATTAACACAGCGAATAAAAGAACCATTCCTGAACAATCACGAAACCCAGTGCAAAATGCAAGCAGGATAGTGACCCCTCCGTAAACAACCTCTGTAGCACAGATCAAAACCACTTACTTTTTGAAACACTGAAGGACTGAAAGCACGAAGCAGTGATAGATGTTTTGAGTACCACTGAAAATTCACAGGAATCTATTAGGAGTATTCTATCTATTTAATCTATTCTATCTGTTTATTAGTAAATGCATTTCTCCAAAGAGAAATCAGTTCAGCAACAAGAATGAATTATATTCCAGAACAACATCACGTAGGAAAGTCCAAAAGTTGAATTAACTTTACATCAAATATTCCTAATGGAGGTGACCCTCCAACTATTCACAGGAATTTTAAGGAGAAGCCTAACACCATGCCAGGAGATACCACCAGAGGAGAGAGCTACTCAAATCAAGGTTTCTGCCCCCTTTGTTTTCAAAGTGTTATGTTCACTTTCTCATTGAGGTATCTGCTTTAACAAAGCAAAAAGAGGTAATGGCTGGTTCTGCCCAAGTTCACCTGGTCCAGGCAGCACAGAACAGAATCTCAAATCCCCAAGTTCCAGCCAGTCCAACACTAAATGTATTTACATAAATGTTGCAATTACCTCACACAGGGGAAAGTGCTGTTTGCCATAAGCTTTATCTCAGAGGTGTGCTTTTACGAGGGGGAAGGAAAAAAAAAAAAAAGGGTGTAACTGAGTACATTTTTCACCCTCAGGTTTCAACAAGTATTTGGTGATGAATTTAAAAGCAGCCATGAGGTGTGTGGGGCTGACTTTTCCCACTGGGTGGGGTGCATTTCCTTGCAGTCAAATAAACTTTCAGAATTTTCTCATCAACTTGTCAGCAGCAAGGGCACCTCACTCCCTAAACAATCTCAAATGACAGTTGTTGAACACACTGAAAAGTTCAGGTGCTCTTAATCGCACCAGAACTCTGCCTGTCAGATTTATGTGCTTCTGTTAATAAAGCACAACATTCCACCCAAGCTGGATTAAATCAGGCATCTAAGCCTTTTCTAATGCATGTGCTAAAGCTGTAAGCAGACTGATTTGGTTTGAACTGTAAGCATTACTTCACACTTAATTAAGAAGGGTTGGGATAACTTCTGCCACGGGTGCCACCTTATTTTTTGGGAACAAAGTCAGCTTTGTTATGGAGTAAAATGCGATAATCAGTACCAAAGGCACCAGAACAGACAGGCAGCCAGGTTAAGCGCCGTGGAAGGTGGGCAGGGGTGGTTCTGTGTCTCTCTGCTGCTGGTCCTGTACTGAGCCTGTCCCACTGGCAGTGTAGTCAGGCCCTGCTCCGCTTACCGTCGGGGTCCTCGGCGGGCTGGATGCTCATGTAGGGCTCCCCCTTCTCCATGCGCGACTGTCTCTGCCGGCTCTCCTCCTCCAGCGCGGCCTCGGCGCGGCTCTTGGCGTTGATGTAGGCCAGGTAGGCAGGGGAGTTGTGGTAGGCCTTCATGGACTCGTTGTACTCGATCTGAAACGTGACCGACACGGTTTTGATCGCACCACCGGGCGACTCCCGCCCCCGACACGACCGCTGCCCCCGCGCAGCTCACGGGGCTGCCCTGGGCCTGTTCTGGCTGACACACCAGGGACCAGGCTCTCCCAGCCTTTCTCTTTTACAGCTCAGAACTTCTTCCATAGTGTCCGTTCGTGCTTTAAAAACACGGCTGGGCCTTTAGGTCCGTTTCAGTTTTACTGCCTGAAAGTCTCAGGACGGCTTTGCTTGCTGAGATTTCAGACTCAAAGCACCTCAGAACAAGGCGCTTGCGATCAAGCTCTGGTTAAGATAAAATCAGCAAACGTACAACATTCTCAATGATTCCCTGGAGTTCTAACTAGATCTGTGATTCTGATTTTCTTCTCTTTCCTTATTCCAGTATGTCATGAACCAGTTTTCAAAATCACTTACGATTTGTCCATTCTTTGGCCCATCCCTGCACTGAGATGGCAGAGGGAGCTGCAGCCAGACTCCTGTCTCCTTCTGCAGCAGGATGGCAGCACTATTTTCACCTTCTTTGAAATACCTTCTCCCTTTGGACTGCTTTCTTTAATCTCACTTTTAAGATTTTTTTTTTTTTTAATAGTGATTTAAGGTATTTCCAATGAAAAAGGAGATATAATCTACAGTATTGTTAAAGGTACCTAAAAGTCTTGTTTTCTTTATGATCAGGACCAGAATCCTCCTGCCTGGGCACTGCACAAATAGAAACCAGCTGGCCCCTGCCCCAAGGAGCTTACAATCTAAACATCATTAGAAGGTAAAAGATAGAATTCCTGCTTTTTTGTTTGTTTGTTTGTTTGTTTTCAGCTAAGAGCACCCAGTTTGCAGTACTTCTCTACTGCCTTGGCATAGAACCAGCTGAGATTTGACCAGGTATCCACAGCCCCAGATGCCTGCCAGGTGTAAACACAGCACATCAGCTGGACAATTCTCCCCTTTGTACCTGAGAAATCACAAGAACAGCCTCGTACAGGTGCTCAACACTTACCAACCCAGACATGAGGAGCTGTCATCTCTTGCCATTAAGACCAGTAAAACCAAAACAAAAGCACAAGAAAACCCTAGAGGTGGCAGCATTTTTCTATTAAGAAACAATACACTAATGCCACAGTGTGGAGTTCCACCAGGTTACACCAGGAAAACCAAACCCCACGAGACTGGAAGTCTCTTATGAACACGTTCATGACAACAGCAGTAGTTGCAGAGCACCAGTTTTGAAAGAGGGTTTTGGTGTTGAGACAATCTTTTCAATACTGATGTTGTACAATCAAATCCATTCATTAAACAGTTAAAACCGACACTCAATTATAAATACATCATTTTGAATTAGGTCTAAAAACTGACCAGTCACAGTTGATGCACAGTTATTTTAAAAAAAAAAAAAAAAATCTAAGAGGCGTGTCAGGACAAACTTCCACTTAAGTTACATACAGGGCTCTCGTGAATGCCTCAAACACCCCTGCATGGGGAAGATGAATTTTTCTTCTCAGACCAGTTCCTAGAAGAATCAGCTGTAATAAACATCCCAGATTTCTTCCATTTACCTTTTCAGCTTCATATTCATTCAAATACTCTTGCTTCTCTTCATCAGTGAGATCTCGCCACATTCCTCCAATAATCTTGCCAATTTCCCATAACTTCAAATCGGGATTGGACGCCTTCACTTGGTCCCAGACCTTAACAGAAACAGCTGGAGCTTTACTAATGATATCTAAATACTTCCAAATTAAACATTTTATATTGTCATCTCAGTGTTCTTTCTGGAATCACCACGAAAAACAGGATTAAGTAAGGAATGAGTCTGTCTAAACTATCTGGATTATTTTCTGGGGCAGGAAGTCAGTAGGAAGCCAGCTACTGAACCAGGCAATTGCTGAGTGGCTTTGGTCTCATGGGAATATTGCCTTTAACCCTCTCAATTCTCTTCTTAAATGCACATCGCTGCATCTCGGGGAAAAAAATGCTACTGAGTAAACACATCCAGCAGTAGATTATGACAAAGAGACTGAGCTTTTCAGATCAGAATGTAACATTTCACAATATTTCAGTCGTGCTGATCAATCTGAGTTCCAACAAGTTCTGACTCCACCAAAAAGGTCTCTAACTTTATAGGGAAAAAAAAAAAAAAAAGGAGAGCTGCCAGTGTAATTTCTTGCTGCACCACTTGATTTTTTTTTTTTTATTATTTTTTTTGGTGTGTGTTGATGTTTTTTTGGCCTAAGACAGACAGGCTGGTAAAGATACTTTACCAGAAGTGGAAGAAATTCCTTCTGGCTCACCTGCTTCAGCCAGGCTGCCATGCCCTCCCCATGCCCCATCAGACTCCAGACTCCACAAGAGTCTCTCTCCTATTTCTGTCACACAGTTCACAGAATAGCGAAGCGAGCGTTGCCACGGGCTAGGGTGGTGAAGGAGAACATGCAAAGTCCACTCATTGCTACTCTTCAGTCCAGCTACAGCACTGCACCAAGCCCAGAAAACGCAAGGAATACTTCCTTTATATAAAAAAAGTTCTGCCAGTAAGTCACAGGAACTTCTGAATGTGGCGGGGTGGATCCTTGTCAGCAGACAGTGGTAGGAATTAGGATTTTAGCAATTTTTTATTTTATTTTTTTTTTTTTTAACCCCCAAGAAATTGGCAACTGTGTGACCAGACTACTGCTGCCTTTGTTCTGCAGGGCAGACTCTGGACTTTACATCCCCTTAAGAGAGCGCAGGCTGTTAGGAGTCAACGTTTAGAAGCTGAAACTAAGATCATAGCAATTAATTGTTAGCACAAACCAACACTGACTTTTATTAACTGACGGACACGGTAATAATACCCACCTTCCGGCTGTACCTCATGTAGGGCATCAGGGGCTTGTCTGGGGGTTTGGGGGGCTTGGGAATGGTAATACCAGAGGAAGCCTATAAAAGAACCGGATAAATCCATTCGTTAATGGGATTGCTGGGCAGTTCCCACACGCTCCAGTGCTGGAAAACACTCACTCTTCGTGCATTCACACACCCCCACTGAGAGAAGCAAACACCACCACTTAAAAAACAACCCAGTCTGTGAACAGGCACTAACTAGAGCTGGTCCTCACAGCAGTGATCTCCAACCTAAGTTTGCCCTCTACTCTGTAAGTTTACAGAGCAGTAATTAGACAAATCCTCAGAAGGGCTCCATGTTCTCAAAACTGAACAACACAGCTTAGGAACTGCCATGGAGACACCAACCCCAGCAGGCTGGTTTTTCTCACTCCTGGTGAGCGATTTATTTTCCCTGTCTCGACAAATTTAATGTGGCCACTGCACAGGTGAAAAAACGACAGGCAGGAAGTTTAAAAGCACTAAGTTAGAGATGTACCAAATAATTTTAGCAACTGCCTGCAAAATTCGTCAGTGGTAATCTGGAGCCAATTAACAGACTCACGATAAAAAGAAAACAACCCTATGCAACTGAACTGTAAATGTGTGCTCTGCTTGCAGCCAAGCTGTAATTAATTGTCCCAATTAGCAGGTAACATGCTCCTGTGCTCTATCTTCCCTTGGCTTTGACACTGTCAGGCACAAAAGGACACTGAGCACCAACTGCTGCTGGAAAGCTGCTGCCTCCCCTCGTGTCCCCTCAACCCACAGAACACCCCACAGGGTTTCCTCCTAGTGCAGTGCAGTGCCATCAGAGCCCCTGTCACCTGCAGGGTCTGGAACCCTCCCCTCTTCCAGCAGTTCTGTTATATTAAGTGGGCGCATTTAAATAAAAATACAAAGGTTCAAGACCTTTCAGGACTGTGGCCCACAGATCAGTACTTGTGTGTAGCCCAGAAGGCCCACGTTCCACATTTTGGTTTTCCAATTTTAACTCCCAGTAAGGTTTTTTTTTTTTTTTTTTTCTGCTGAATTTATGGAGCTCTATGAACAATGCATACAGAACTGTGTATAAATAATGTGCATGAGGTATATGCATCACCAGAATGTATACATAGATACACGTACAGATGGGTTGGAAAAACATTAACGGAAACTGTTCAATGCTTTTAAATTAAGAGGGATTTAGAGACACCATCCATATACTGGGATATGCATGGCAGAGCAGGCTGTGTGTGTTTGTGACATACAGAAACAATGGAAGTTCTCAGACAAAACCTGACTTATTCTCGTGTAAGGAAATAGTGTCCGTTCAGTCAATTCCAGCTTGTAGGGGAAGGTCCTTTCTGTAAATGCTTTAACAAATAGAATGAACTTCATATGTGAAGTCTGAAAGAAGGTTTATATGAGAGGCATAAAAGGAGTACACTTTCATTCAAAGCACCATGCATTTTGGTCCTTGAGAAATCTTGGTATCGCTTTCCAAACTGATGTTTCAAGGTACAAAGTCTTACATGAAAAAACCTTGAAGTTTTGAGATGTTTAAAAAAAAAAACACATCAGGGGTTTACCCTGTTGTGTTATGAAAATGTTACATTTCCCCAGTCTATTTTTGTTTCCTAACTCCATCCAATTCTCAGCACTTCATCCGTGTTTGAAATGAACCTGTCCCCTCCCTCGTCACTCGTCTCCTCCTCACTTTGTTTATTCCATGAAAAATGAATGTAACATCCATTTCCCACACACTGACATATGTAAGAGCTGAAAGGATTCTGTTTCATTATCACCACGCTTTTGTTGAAAAAATAATGACTGAACTTGGGACTGTGCAGTTATTACCAGTCTAAGCCTGGAAAGAATAATTAAGGCTTGCACCTCTCGTATGGCTCAACAGGATGATGCAACGACTATCAACGATCTCCAGCTTGCAAAACGCTCTTCCTTATTTTTGTGCCAGTGAACCTCAGCAAAATGAGCAGTTCCCCCCCTCCAACAATTCGTGCCCAGCTACAGAACTCCTCCCTACGCATGCAGGGGTCGCTGAAGACCACAAAGTCTGTCATTTTGGAGTTCTGCATCATAAAACCATCACCAGTTCTCCCTGCTGAGTAGAAGCTCATTTTCCTGCGAAAGGTTTCATTCAGAGTGAAGGGGGAAGGGGGGGAGGGTGGGGAATAAGAGTCAGAAGTGAGTTGGTATTTTTTAATAAAGAAGTGGCAGCAGCCAAGACTCCGAAGATCCTAACCCTAAAGCCATTTCTGGTCAAATCCTGGTGTTTGCTGGAGGATGTAATAGTTGATTCTCCTACCGTGACCCGGCTGTTGGTGCCCGGGTTCCCTCCCAGCCTGTAGTTGTTGTAGGCCAGATGGCTGTATGGATTGTATCCCACAAACCCTGGGGTGCTGGGCATTTGCTGATGGAAACAAATGAGACAAAAACACGAATGAGAAATGAGCTCAAACGAGGAAAACACAGAAATGAAAATGAACTGCAATATGGCATGCAAAAGCAACCAGAATTCAAACAAGCAATGAGGTGTAGCAGTCGGTGTCTTCCCAACACACACAACTTACTCCAGCATAAACCTAGTAAGGAAACAGGACTTTTTAAGCAAATGTGTCGCTACAAATTTCTGTCTGAAGTTGGTTGATTTTATTTCTATTAACTGTGCAACTTATTTAAATGAGTATTCTGTAAATCCAGCTGATTGCTCGTAAAATTTTTCAACACAAGCCACCAAGGAATTCAGAAGACTCTTATATCCGAAGGGTGAAGGTTACAGGGTGACACAGCACCCAGTGATGGGCCAGAAATCCCCTGTATCCACATTTACACCAGTGAAAACCCCTGCCTGATTTTCTTCCCAGCATTCTGCCTTCCCAACAAACGTGGAGGGGGGAGGAAACCTCTCAAAGCACCATCTGTGCACCCCTGCCAGTGGCTGAAGACAATTCCCAGAGACATCCCTCTGTCATAAGGCAGACTGAGGAACTCTAGTTCTGCAAAAAGATCTACAGGTTAGAAACTACAAACTAGTCTGAACAGATCACCCAATCCAAGACAACTCAGAAGTTAATCAATACATCTTCATTCATTCATGAAAGTGGATCGATTTGTTCTCACCTCAGTCATGCAGAGAAAAATCTGAGTTCTTTACATTCCCTTCTCACTTATCTAAGGACACTCAAGTATCACTGGGTTCCCTGTATTCCCCTCCTCGCTTAAATTTCAACCTTTTTCCATTATCCCCCACTTCCCAATCAAATTTTGTTGGAAAAAATAGATCAGCTATTTACCAGTGACTGTGATTAAATCCTGACTGTCGTGGTCCTAACACTCCCTCGGGATTCATGAGAGCCTGGAGTGTTTCTAGACATTTGATTGCCATCCCCACAGTGTCTCTCTCTCCAGTAGCCTTAGCAAACACTCCTACAGTCTTTCCCAGGGATTTGCTGGCTGGACCTGTTCTAGATCACAGTTACAAAAATCCTACAAATTGGTTCAGGACTCCAAGAACCAAAGCGTGACACACCCAGACACTGAACAGTGTTGCCCTTGGAGCTGACTACAGCAACTCTCAAGGTTTCAGGTAAAGGCAGACACACTGTAGGATTTTATTCCTTAACATACAAGTGCAGAGGAAAATTATCCTTTAACACTCTGCCTTCCATAGAGATTTTACTGCCAAGCTTTTTAACTCAGTCACAGCAGCTGACATGTGCTCATCTGTATGCCTGGGCTCATGACATACACACGCACTACTTCATAAGACACCATTTTACTGTAGGGGTTTTTTTTTGTATTACCATAACAACAGGTTTTGCATAGGTTGAACTACACCTCTTCAATAAAACCAGGTGACAATTGTAATCTCCGTCTGCTTAATTCTTTATTTCTGCAAGACAGGATTTAAACGTTACCAGGGAACTACCTTGCAACACATGGAGACTTTTTTATTTTTCAGCTACAGTACTGCAGTTAGGAGAACTACTGGGACTTTGTCCACTGCAGCACCTGGAACTGGCTGTGGAAGAACAAGCAAGGTTATTTGGCGGCTTCATGACTTGCATTAACAAGAGAGCACAGACCATCATCTGAAGGACTGCACAAAATATGATATCAAATACAAGAAAAGGTGCTTGTTAGACAGGCAACGCACACCACTGGCTGCAGTTCTGACATGGGTTTCAGGCACCCCTTTGAGGGGCTCTACCACAGCAAGGTAAACAATTTAACATCTGTGTCCATGCTACGTCCCAAAGGAATGTCATGCGTGTTGGCACAGCTCTCCAGGCAGGAATCCAGGGCTCAGGGTGGATCCATCATGTCCCTCCTGACACTGGCACAGGTCTGTGCAAAATGAAAACTCTTGAACAAACTGCGCAAACCAAGTTTTATTTGCGTAGACTTACGGAAACATAACTTGTGTTTATGCACTATATCATTTTCAAGCCTCTTTACAAGTAAAGTACGGCACAATAAATTTGAAGGGTCACATTCCATCTAATCCCCATCCTGCAGAGATCAGGGACACACTATTGGGCAACAGTTTTCCAAAGAAAATAAAAATCATCACTAGAGCATCTTTGCTCATTCTTCTGTACAAAGGATTTATCATAAAATCCAAACTATTCAGAAATGTGATCGAAGAGGAGCATTTGCTTTCAAAGAGCTCCCTGCCGTCCAGGAATGTCACTGGACAGGATACAAAGCTCCTGTTCATGTTTCCCTCAGTGTGATCCCACAGCACTTTACTAGAAAGTAAAATACTTCCCATGTCCTGGACTCCAAAATTACCAGTGATTTCAAGGAGTGCAAGGCTGGCATCAGGAGTGTTTCACTGCTCTGTCCCAGTGTGACAGGATTTTGCTTATTCCTACATTCCACTGAAATGCACCTCAGGACAACAGAAACATTTTTTTAAAAAATGCACTGTCTGCCCATGATTTGGGCACAGGCTCAGTGGGAAGTTTTAGGATTAAATATGTCAGTTGGTTCTTAACTACTCCAGCACTGCTGCAACCCCCTGTGAATCACTTCAGACAAGTGACTGCTCACAGAAAATTC